GGAGCTACAGTCGCAATAAGAAGTTAAAAATACGATCATTTTTTTTTACAGTCTATCCAGGTTTCAGGCAAAACGATCTTCCTGACTTGATCTAGGTTAACCATTTGGTAATTGCTATTTGTATAAACTAATTATGTATCATTAACATCTTCCGAAAGCAAAAGACTATCTTAGTGCAATGATCTAAATATTGATATTTCAGGGAAAGAAATATTGGGATCATAGTAAGCCTTAATGCTTAGTGTCAGGCAATTCATTTACATTTGGTGCAGTGTGAGTTCTTGCATCAGTTGCATCATAACGCACAGAACAAACTGGATGAGATTTCGACAAGTACTTCCGGATTCAGATTTTGTCCAAGTCTTTTCAGCTTCTGTCCTTTTCCTGCTCATATAAAATGATGAAGATGAAGTGTAAAATATGGTTAGCCTCCGTATCGAGCAAAAAGCTGTATTTCCACTCAAGGAAAAGAGACTGAGGTGCCGTCTGTAAATCAATGAGCCTTTCAAGCTGCTCAGATTCAGAAAAGGTAAATGTATTCTGTTTACCGCCTGGACATAATTTCATATTCTTACCAATTCTGAGCTTATTCATTTATTAAGTTTTAAGTTATATTTAATATGATTCAGAGGCACCATCTGTTTCTTTCTGGTGTAGAGTAAAGTCACCCTCATGTTGGTGCTTGGGTTTTATTGAATAATAATTTTTTTTCAATGTGAAAAGTTACATTTAGGTTTTGCTCCGAGTGAAGTTTTCTGCAAATCCACCTTTTCGTCAGTGAGTTACAGCTCAGTGACTTCTCGATTATGACACTAGAAGGATTTAGCTCCTTCTCGGCCACTGCGTTCCTCCAAGGAATGTTGCCTGGCACTGCCATGCCCTGCACACAGGGCAATAGCTGTCCAGACATTTTGCTACTGTTGCCATTTTAGTGGGTACAAGAGGTCACTGAAATGTAGGGGTCAGTACATGTGTCATTATTTAATGTCAAAAAGTGGCAAAATCTCCACATCATTAATAAAAAGAAAAACATGCCAACATAAATCACTTTCAGCTATTATACAGGAAGGGGTGCAAAGGCAAAGGGATAGAGAGATAGATAGATTTTAAAAGGGAGCCAAGAAGAAAAAGAGAGATGAGTGAGGAGATAGCAAACATTTAAGCCTTGTTTTTGAGTGTTGTGAAGGGAAAGGAGAAGAAACAGGATAGTGGCAAGATTCTGGCTCTGGCAGCGCAATGTTGGATTTACAGTAATACTGATATTTCACAGTAATTAGGACATATGGGAATTGTTTTGGAAGCCCACCCTTTTTCAGACTATCTTCTCATCAAGATCTCTCGTAGGGTGACCAGCCGCTAACTAATAAGCATGCAACATCAGTGTCTTTGGTGTGAGATGAAGAAAAGCAGACAGAGCTTCTCGGCCACTGCGTTCCTCCAAGGAATGTTGCCTGGCACTGCCATCCCTGCACACAGAGCAATAGCTATCCAGACTGTTGTCGTCTGTGGTTCCCTGATGGTGGAACAAGCTACTGAATCCTATCACAGCGGGGCCGTCCCGCGCTATCTTCAAGAATCTCTTGAAGACTTATCTCTTCACAGAGCACCTCCTCTCCTAACACCTCTACCAGCCTAACATACCTAACTAGCACTTACTTAGCACTTTCAGTGCACTTCTTTAACTGTTATCCTTGCACTTACTGAATAGATGCAGTACTTAGTACTTACACCAAGGTCTCCAACTGCACTGAAGCTTTAGTGTTGTCCCTCACTTGTAAGTGGCTTTGAATAAAAGCATCTGCCAAATGAGTAAATGTAAATGTAATATATTCACAGTAAACTAACTGCAAAAAAAATTACAATTGGTCAAATATATGTGAGTGAGTGGGAATTTCCACTCCAGTGAGCCAGCAAGATTCTATTCCCATATCATGTGATTGCACACACCATTAATCTGCCCTGACTGTTGTTAAGGCACCATTCTAGTTGCCTCAGAAAGCTGAGAATCGCACGGGACAGACACAATTTCAAGCTCGTCTCTATAACAAAGGTTTCAAAAGTTATTTAATGTTGTGTAGAACATGTGTGTGTATAGCATTGATGCTATGCTCTGTTCAGGTGGGGAGATCATTCAAAAACATTAAGACACGATTCATTTTGTGCTTAAGTTACCAAAATCAATATAACAAGCATGTAAGAAGACAACTTTTTTCTTGTTGTGCAATGGTGGTGGTATCTTCGGTCCTGCTTTTACATTTCTGTCATTCTATCGATCAAGTTCTTTTTTAAATAGAAAAATAAAAATCATATTCACCCATTCACACACACACACTCACACACTGATGGCAGCAAGCTACTATGCAAGTTGCTGATCTGACCATTGGGAGTAATTTATGGGTCAGTGTCTTGGCCAGAGATTCTTCGATATGTGGACAGGCAGACACGGGGATCGAACTGCCAACCCTGTGACCAGTGGATGAGCCTGTCTACCTTCTGAGTCACTAGCCCCATTTTCATCCAATTATAACACAAGTTTTAACCGCATTTCAAGAAAAATTTGCAAAACAAAACATGAATTTATGCTGATTACCGTCCACTACTGGTATGTGAAAATTAGGAATTGGTTCATTGAGTCAAACTGCTGAAGGCGCTTAGTTCCAGTCGGGTGCCATTAAAACATCGCAGAAGAAAAGGGCGCAACAAGATTATGTAATCAGCATCAAAGGTTGAAAAACAAAGTAGAAAACATATAAATATGGCATTTATGTTTGTCTCATAATTTGGGGAACATTACAGTGCTCCACAAAGATCTGATGTTTTCCTCTTCCGCAATTTCTCATCTCCACAGTGGAACAGAAGATTCAGTGGACATGTAAGTCACATGCGTCATGCACATCATGATTTATTCACTATTGTTTCCACTGCACTTGCTTTTATCAATACACCAACTTTTTCACCCCAACCAAGCGTAAAAAATGTTTTTCAATATTTCTGTTTTTTTGTTTTGAATTTTCTCACTCAGGAATTACACTCAGGTTTTTATTCTATGGCAAACTGGAAATGTGTATAAAAGAAGACGAATCAAATTCTATTTGGCATCGAAAATCGATGAAATAGGCTTCTTAAGTTGTCACTAACAATCCAAACACTGGAAACAAGGGTATATTAAAATAAAGCCATTTTGCTATTGTTGCCATTTTAGTGGGTCCCTGAAATGTAGGGGTCAGTACATGTGTCATTATTTAATGTCAAAAAGTGGCAAAATCTCCACATCATTAATAAAAAGAAAAACATGCCAACATAAATCACTTTCAGCTATTATACAGGCAGGGGTGCAAAGGCAAAGGGATAGAGAGATAGATAGATTTTAAAAGGGAGCCAAGAAGAAAAAGAGAGATGAGTGAGGAGATAGCAAACATTCAAGCCTTGTTTTTGAGTGTTGTGAAGGGAAAGGAGAAGAAACAGGATAGTGGCAAGATTCTGGCTCTGGCAGCGCAATGTTGGATTTACAGTAATACTGATATTTCACAGTAATTAGGACATACGGGAATTGTTTTGGAAGCCCACACTTTTTCAGGCTATCCTCTCATCAAGATCTCTCATAGGGTGACCAGCCGCTAACTAATATGCATGCAACATCAGTGTCTTTGAGGTGAGATGCAGAAAAAGCAAACAGAGCTTCCAGGCAACTGACAGAACTTTAATATCACTACGACCCATGGCATCATTTTGCAGAGCTGCACTATCTGTTTGGCTTTTGTCTCAAGCAGCGCTACATCAGTCCAAGTCTAAGTGCTAAAATACTCTGTCCTCCTACGCCACGTCTCTTCTTCTGTCCCTTCCTGTCTCCCTCTATGAGCATATTAGATGATAAACCCCATCCCCCCAACCCCGCTGATTGAATCCAGAGAATGATAACCTTCCCATCAGCAAGGTAAGACTCTCCCTAGAGCTCTCAGTATGTGTGTTAGTGTGTTCTTGAAGGCAGGCCAAGTCTTGAAACGAGAATAACTGGGTTCTAATTAGTACTATTCACTCTGCAAACATGCGTTTAAGACACCTCAAGGAATATTATTATGTAATTCTGTGAACTACAAGACAAACTACAATGTCTCTCTGTATGTCTACATTCGCTTCTACATTCATCTAATTTAATCACATCATGGTAACTCATGATGAACTGAAATGATTAAGAGAGCTTTAGTACAAGCAATTGTCCATTTCTGTTTGGATAAAGCACTTCCATTTACCACTTCCACAGATTTACACACACAGATTTATACAGATGCACACATGCATACATATTCCCATGTGTTACATGTGCAAAGGGATTGTATGCTTTCTGCTCAGTTCACTGATGTATGAATGACAATGTGCATATGTGTGTGCATGGGTGTCAAATCTGATCTTGTCCTAACATTATGAGAAGATGGTTTCGCACACACATACACATCAACCCATATAACCGTATACACATGCACAATAATGTGTGGTGTGTAAACGGAAGCCATAGGAGCCACACCTCTTGGCCACACGGGGAAATCTCTAAAATATAGATCAGAAGCTTGGATTTCTGACAGGCATTTACAAATCTTTTGATGGAAGGTTTAAAGGGCTTACTTTGAACTGCTTCATTTTTTAATTAAAGGCCAACACGCCAAAGACAAAATTCAAATAATAAATTCTCTGTCAAGCTGAGGCATACCACCTCGCTGAGATGGTATCAAAGGCCAGGATAACAAGACAAACTTTTCTTCTGTCTATTTGCCACTGTGAGCTGGGTACACAAGTAAACAACGACTTATATTTAATAAAATTCCTTTGTGATTTTAAAAATATGTAGGCTACCAAGTGCCTTGGAAGTTTGTGATGTTCCATGTTGTTTTAAAGGGCATAAATAATATTTTCTTGCAGAGACGTGTGCTCATGTGTAATGCACTGAAAATGGCGAAAGCAGCACTGAAACACCAGCTCATAATCTGACAGAAAAATAATCCTACCTTGTCGAACATCTCTGGGTGCTATGGCGATTGCATCATTGGAATGCAGCTCGGTGACACAGCAGTCATCAGGAACCAGTGAACCATTGCTGAAGCTGTGGGGTGTCTCCGGGAGCAGCGGAATAGGTGGCGCCATGATGTTGTGGTTTGGACAGATACATCCTGTCTGGGTCATCCCGCAACCGTCGCCATCGGAAACCTCCTGATCTCCATTGTGTCCTGTGCGTAAACACTCCTCAAACCATCGGCAGAGCACGCCACAGGTAAACTGACTGGAGTTCTCGTTATTGATGAGTAACACCTCTACCAGTCTCAGCTCCAGCACTTCCTTGGTTACCTGAGGCTCATCAGCAGCTGGATGTCTCGTTAGACATAGTTGGACAAAGTTCTTATCAAACTGTAGGAAGGAGTAAGGTCCATCTGAGTTGGATTGGCTGCCACAGAGATCAATGACTTCCTGATCCTGATTCCTGGCCGACTTTAAATGAAGGGGACAGCTTTGATTGGCTAGGTGGTGGTCAAGAGAGAGGAGCATGGGGGAGTGTGTCCGGCATATGACAGGATGGCGGGTGAAGCGGAGGTAGAGGGAGTACTTGGTAGGATCTGGGTTTTCCAGGGACCAAGAACAGCCTGGCACCCTGGAGGGGAACAGCTCCCTTAGGGAGAAAGACCCATAGAGCACCCCAGCTACAAGGCTGGAGCATGGCGCGGAGATGGGTGAGGGGGCCCCCTCTGCCCCGGTCCTGGGGATGCCATCGGCAGCCCCATGAGCAGCCTCAGCCAGGGCAGAGAGAGGAGCTAGAGCGAGGGCAGACACAGCAGCCAGGGCCCCAGCCACGGCCAGGAGAGAGGACAGCACAGACAGACACACCCCACCAGCAGTGTTCATCCTATGACATTCGTCCTGCAGCGGGAGAGAGAGAAAAGAGGATGGGGGAGAGAGGGTTGTACATTAGACACGTGGGGTAATATCTCCAAATGCAACATTAGGCAACATATATTACAGTACAATATCTGTAAAAGTCTAGACCAAACAATCAAGTCTGATTGGGGATATTTCTGGACATGTCTGCTTCACCTCAGAGTATATCATAACCAGCTTTATGGCAGAAGGTCTACACACACATGCACTGTTGACAACACAAACACATCCCTGCTGGGCTGGATTAAAAGGGTTGATGACTTGGCTGTTGAGACATGTATTGTTGGGTATGCTCTACCCTTTCCTGCTGATAGGTGCACACAAACACACTGGCACATGCACGCAAGCGCACACACAAATATACACACACACAACATTGCCTGCTGAGCAGGTCCCCCAAGGCTCTGGCAAACTATTACCATCACCGCCACAGTGAGGGTCTGCCAGCAGTCTGACTTTGACTCGTACAAAACACACACACACTGCTGACACAAGAACCCATATATAGCACATAGTGTTTTAGTATTTTGTTTGAAACTACTTCAGTACCCACTACATTTGTGCGAGCCCTGTGTGTCTGCTCCATCACCTGAGACTCTCAAGTGGCTCTGCATAAATGCATTTTGAAGAGAATGTGTGGGTATGGGAAATGTTTGCACCACTTTACCAGTAACCTTGTAACATGATGCCCAAGTTTTTCTAAAACATCACTATGCTATGAAATTGAACATATGCTCTACTGTAACATAAGAAACATTTAGCAATATGTTACTAGACTAGTACACACTGCCACAAAACAAGAAGACAATGGATGGAAATACAGCAAATGCAAAAGAAATAATCTGCTCACTTATCTCCAAAAAACACATACCGGTAATTTGTCATCGAAGCTTACAGCCACAAATACCTTTTTTAAAAGCATAATTTGAGTCGCAGGGTGATATAGAGTGCTATGATTTCAAGTGATGTGATATGATAAGAACAGAAAGACAAGGACACAGACAGAATATAACACCAGTTCATGAACGCTACTCATGGTCACCCATTGATTGTTTTTCCATTTCAAGGTGTCACAGAGTGTGCTTTTCCAAATGTGAACCATTTGGCTAAAACTGATAAATATGATTCATTTCCTTGGTGTTTTTGACTTGCAAAAAATGTACTTTATTATAAGTGAGCTATGTAGGCTACACAGTGTTTGTTTGTATCTGGTTTAACTGCATAGAAACTAGAATTGAGAGCGAATGATATTTTACCATCAGCTCCCTTGCTAAATTATCATTGTAGCTAGTTAGCTAAAAATGCTATAAAGAGGCCCTGGTCTTGTGAACATACCTTTCTCACACCAATGTACTTCTTTGGAGTGTTAAACCACACAGTTTCTTAATATATGGTTTAACTTTTCTTTTTTTTTTCTCGTTAAACATTTGCACTGTGCTACTTATTCATTTTCAACCACACAGAAACTAACATTAGCAGTGGCTGGTATTTTATCATTAGTTCCCTTGCTAAATTAATGTACCAGCTAGTTAGCTAACAATGCTAAAAAATAAACAGTTATTTTATTCTTACACTAACACACTCTTCTGCTTTGGAGTAGACTACAAGACTTTTGGGTTTAAGACAAGACATGCAGTTTTCTGTTACATTAACAGAAATTTGGAAGCAATTATAACAGAAAATCCACTCATGCTATTGCTAACCTGACCTGCACCACGCCTCATCACACCAATATATCCATTTCTTGCCTGGTTGTCTGAAATTGGTCTCCCCATTAGCTTCAATCAAAGTTACTTAATGTGTGATGCAACTACAAAAAGCCTCTATATAAAACACGTGTGCCTGAGCCTGTACTTCACAGGATTTATATGAGTCTGTTAAGCCTCTCCAGCGTTGGACACATATTCCACAGGGCCTGGAGAAGAAGCCAGGAACTGTGCTTACCTCATGTGTCAAGAGGTGTCCCAATAGGGCTCTTGGACTTATAGGGGGTAGTTGTTAATGAGAGCTAGGGGGATGGAGCAGGAGGTGTAGGAGGGAGCAGAACATTAGAATTGTTGCAATTAAACAAGAATTATGAAAATATGTGCAAAACTTGCATAATTCCTCTCTCAAAAAAAAAAATCTCCTTTAGGTTTTAGGCATTCTGCTGATGCTAAGTCAGAGTGATGTACAAGGCATAAAATGGTTTACTGTCATGCTCAAGGACGATTCACCTACACACATTTTTTTGATGGACATAGACTGGTTTTTGAAGACATTAAATCTGCTACCCCAAGGTCATAGGAAGGTCTCTAAGCAGTAGTTCACTTTGCTGAGCAGAATAAATAGTGGAGTGCTACTAAACCAGTAAACCAGTAGTAAAAGAAAAAAGGCACAGGCGCACACTAATATACAGTAGAATACTACTGTATATTAGTCCACAGCAGACAACACTACATATAGGCATTGTTCCTCATCAGGCACTATTTACTCTAGGAGGAGCTGGCAGTAGTGTGAGACAAGTAGCCATAGCAACACCCTATCTCTTGACCTGGAAATGCATTTTTTTTTTAGCTTTTATCAAAGCTAAAGCTGTTTGCCTTTATCTACCCCTTTTGTCACTAGGTTTTTTCTACATAGGATTCTCACCTGAAATTTGTCACTCAGAACTCATGACATAAAAGCTTTTTAAAGAGCACTAGCTCTGGCTGCGGTGACACTTTGACAAATGCATGGCACAGTTGGGCTGGGGGAAGGCTAATGTAGCATGTTGTGAAATATGCTCAAGGACATCATGCGCTCTGGCATATGATGGGGTTATAGACTCTGCCACCTGAACACACTCACATACTTTCAAACAAATACAGCATGAGGTAACATCCATGCAGACTGCACCGCAGCCGGTGACGCTTGTCCTGCTAACAATGTGTCACTGAACAATTAGATCCAGAAATCCAGAGTGGGACTGTGATGCAATTTTCTATATGGCAAATAGAGTTTATGGTTTCCCACTGGCACTTAACAGAATTGGGGGATGCAGAGATAGCATGTCGATGCTTTCAGAACAAATACAATACTTTCTATTTTCGTTTTATTGCACAGGATAAAAATCTTCTTCTTGTCACTGATTTATCCAAAGTAAAGATAGATAGCATTATAGGCCAAGCCATGCATAGGTAAAATCTTATGCATATTTTACGCATGAAAAGAAGTCAAAAGCGTTAAGCAAATTGTTTTTGGGACAATGAACAATGAATATTCATAGACCCACAGTCTGTGCAAGAGTAGGCCCTAAAGTGATGTCTTCATGAGGCCATTCTGTCCCACTTCAATCCAAAACAGCACTTTACTGTGGGCAACCATAAATATTCATTAGCTTTGATGTCTTCCTTCCCACTCCCACCTTGACATTAATGTTATCACCAAGGATGGCAAAATATGTATATCCCTCACTCCCTGTCTCACTTTCTGCTCCCTGTCCTCTCGGCTCCCTCTTCATTCTTTAATGCAGTGAAGTGACAGTGTGACTCATCTGATATTTGTCCTCACTGTAAAACTCATGCAAAACAGAGCAGCACTAGGACACCATACTTTTAAAAATAACACAACAGCCCTGAAAGCATCATCATCGCCAAATAAGATAAGATTGTGTCACTAAGTATTCATGATACATTTAAAGTTCTAATGTCTGCTCAAAAGTTTTGTATTGTGTCTTAAATGCTATACTTCCACATGTAGTGAAGAAATTCTGCAAAACGTCACAAAACACAGATTTTAAGGCAAAGATTTCTTGCCATAAAACTTTTTTTTTTTTAACGTGACATTTTGCTCTGCTCTACATTTATTCAGCATTCAAACAGACTCATAAAAAAATTTTTTTATATCTATTTATTACTGTACTTTCTTCTTCATTGTACAGACAAACGGGAACTATCACCTGTTAAATTCTTCTCCATTTGCCTGTCTCTGGAAGCCTCACAATCTTTACACAGAATCTTAAAAAGCTTCAGTTCTAGTTGCACTGAAATCCAACTGCATTGAATTATAAAATACCCACAGACTTTGTTTAAGGATCCCGTCACTGAGAGAAAGTAAATGCACTGCTGAACTTAATATTCACGGTGTGCAGTTGAGTCCACATTAACCGCCCAATACTTGTGTGCAACTCATTTATTATGATCATAATTCATCGCTGGTGGATGATTCTTGCGATAAACTAAAAGTGATTTCCTGTGTTTTCTTTGTGCTGGCAATTAAGGAGTTCTTATCACTCCAGTCAATAAGGCCAGAAAACATCTTTTGTGCTACAAATAGGTCTCTCAAACTGAAAAAATTAAAACCTAGAAATAGAAAAATAGTTATATTGACTGACCACTTATAAGAGAAGAACACAATTAAAAGAAAAACTTCAGTATGTAGAATGATTAGAAATCAGACTTTTACCATGAACCATACAGACTGCGTCATTAAAAGGTGCTATATTGAGATATTCAATTTTAAAAGTTCAGTCCTGCTAACCAGCCCAGTGTTTAAACAGCTAGCCCGCTAGATCGCCAAGGTTGAGTAGCACCAAATGTTCCATTTCCCCACCTGAACAGAACAAGAACTACTGTCAATAGCTGCAAGACAGTGGAGTTCTAGTTCGTCCACGAGACAAGAGCCCTGCCCGCAGGCAGGAAAACACAAAGCGTGTCTAGCTGGTTAGCAGCAACTGAACTTTCAAATTCAAATACATATACGTACATATAGCACCTGATGAATAGATAACAGCACTGTCCAAATGAATACTCAATGTGACACAATTTGTAACCAAAGGACAGCATTATGAGCAAACACCAACATCCCAAAGAAGTGTTGAAGTGTTAAAAGATATGAATCACAACTTCTGGGCAGGACTTTCACAATAAAATCAGACCAGAAACAGGATGCAGGGATATGTGAGTCACACCTTTGAGCTGAGGTGACAGTCATGTGATCATGAATTCAACTAAATCTGTCAG